AGTTTAACAACTCCTCATTCCTAGTTAAAAGTCCTTGAGGGAATGTTTATTACAGTAAGTAACTGATAAAACGTAACTGATAAATGTACAATGGCTAGTTAACAATGGTGGAACCCGGAGCATTAGTGTTCCTAAATTTACGAAATTCTCATAGCAGTCTAGCGGGACATATGCAGCAAAGACATGAATGAGAATGTTGAACTTCACAAAGGCGAGAGAGATACTGTTCTGCCTATATCACAATATAACACTGAGTTTCATCTCCTCCTTTGTGAAGCTCTCCTAACCCTTTTTATGACAACCTAGAAATCCTAGATATTTTGGCTACTGCGGTAGAATTAAAGAGCTGATGGTGAAGCTGTGGACTGAAGGCTACAACACGGCGGAAAAGCAGCGACGGTGCCAAAAAGTAGTGGTAATAATGGTGCTAAACTAACAATGATGCCTTTAACGATGCAGATGAATAGTGGCGGATCCAGTTACACAATCCGCCCCCCCCCCGCCTTTTGGAGCGTTTTGGACACGCTACTTCAGATGGTGATGGCAGTGACATTAGTATTGGCCAAGATATATTGTACAAAAAATCACTGTTGGTTAGTGTCAAAAAAGGATATAGAACAGTAAGGAAACAGGAGGCACAACCTGCTAAGTACACGCATCAGCATCTGCTCCTTAAAGAACACAGCCTAAACGACTGAGCTGTTGGTCACAGGTGCAGCCAGCGAGGACGCCAGCTTATTGCCCGCCTCGTCCAGAACCTGTAAGCCGGACATGAACCCGAACCCGATGATGAAGCACACCAGGCGCACGGGGCCGCCGTCGGGCTTGGCTCTCTCTCTCTCTAGGACCTCGCAGAAGGTCACGTACAAGATGGTGCCAGCAGAGATCCCCTGTAGGAAGGTGGGCACCAGAACGCCTGCCGTGGTCTCCCCAGTGGACAGGGACAGCACCAGCGCGCCCATTGCCCCTCCAACGGGCGACGAGAGCGAGAAGATGACCATGGACACCACGAATGGGACGAGCGTTACCCCGACCTCGAGGAGCTCCATGCCCAAGCAGAAGGCAATGAAGACCTTGTGGGCCATGAGGGCGGCGAAGAGGAACCACACGCCCGCGGACGTCTCCTGCAGGCCGAGAGCTAAGCCCTCCATCACGCTGTGGAAGGAGAACGCCACTACCACGATGACGGCGCGAAGAAGGGAGATCCCCTGAGTGAGGCCGTGCTCGTGAGCATGGCCCGCGGGCTCCGGCCTGTGCTCCGCGTGGCCTTCCATGAGATGCTGGAAACTCTCGTCCACCTCCTCCTGTTTTCTTGATTTACTTCCTTCCTCTGCGTTTTCATGCCGGACGTCTTTGTCTTGTTCTTTTTTTCTTTTCATCTCCAAGTCCTTGTGTTTTTTTCCGCTGGACGGTCTTTTGACGCACGCGTGCACTACGTCTTCAATGATGTAAATAATGATGAATCCAATGCAGACGATGAGCTCCGCCACTGGATAGGGAGTGTGCGGCAGGAAGCCTCCGTGCATGGCGTCGTTTACAAACATCCGGGCTTCGGGGAGAAGATGCAGGAACACCGTTGCCATCAGCACCCCCGCGCCGAAGCACAGGCACCCGCTCAGCGCCCTCTGGGGGAGAGGCGGAGAAAGGCACTGGGTGAATTTGGTTTCATGTACGTTGCGCGTACACACACACACACACACACACACACACACACACACACGCACGCACACGCACACGCACACGCACACGCACACGCACACGTACACGCGCACGCACACACATACACACACACATATACATATGAATAAAGAGAAAAATAGGTGCATAAAAAAATATATATACATACATATCTATCTATCTATCTATCTATCAATCTCTCTCTCTCTCTCTCTCTCTCTCTCTCTCTCTCTCTCTCTCTCTCTCTCTCTCTCTCTCTCTCTCTATATATATATATATATATATATATATATATATATATATCTTGAAAGCTGGGGCGTGGGGCCGAGAGTTACCTGCGTGCGGGGCAGGTGCATGCGGCCCTTGAGCAGCTTTCGGACGTACAGGGGGACGAGCGCCGCTATGATCGTTATCACGGCCATCGTCACCAGCGCCGCTGCCTTGTTCCCCCCCGTGCCCAGCATCGCCTCAGCTTCTTCTCGTCACGGCTAATGAATGACATGACAGCAAGTTTTAGAGTAAGAAATATACTGGTTTATTTATCATGACGGGATTTTTTATAGTGTGCTGTATTCAAGAGTGTCCTTCTATTGCAGCCCTCTTCTATATCAACAACTGAAATGAAGAAAAAAATGTGCTAACCTTCCACCAAATTCAAAGTATATCAGTGTCAGATTAATTCATTGTAATCACTGGTGAAAGAAACACAGACCCCACGCGTGGACGATCCCCCTCAACAATAAATCGTATTTGCCTCTAATAAGTGAAGTTTCCTGTTGGCTTTCACACTGTGTCCGGTGTCTATGCTTGAAGCCGATAGACT